GCTGACGGCAGCCTCCGAGGCCGCCTGCCTCATCGTCTCCGTGGACGAAACCATCAAGAATCCCCGCTCCACCGTGGACGCTGCGCCTGGTGGCCGGGGCCGGGGGCGAGGCAGAGCCCCCAACCACTGAGACCCCCGCTCCTTGGCGGCGGCGCGATGGGGGCGGCTGCTCTCCTCCAATGTCTAAAGTGAAAAAGAATTGATTTCTAGCTTAATTAACGGGCCGTTTACCAGATGGTCATTTTGAGGGCTTACAGGCAACCACTGGCCGTGTTTAATTAGAGTCAAATCTTGGCCTCGGCGGCGGCAGCCTCCTGCGAGGTGCCCTGCCCCGACATTTCCTACACAGCGCTGATCCCCTTGGGCTCGCCTCGTCCTTCCGCCCGGAAGCGGCGCTGAGCGGAGCCCTCTCCGACGCTGGCGGGTGGTGCAGCGAGTGTGGGGTTTCTTCCTATTTATACTTCTTTTTCTTTTTTTTTTTTTTTTTTCCTTTTTTTGCTGGGGGTTTTGAACCCAGGCTCAAAACACAATAAAAAGATGACTTTGTTTCAGTGGCAAACTGGGGTGTTGCTCTGTTCTCTGCCGCTTGCTTCCTTCCGCAGGCTGGCAGCTCCTGGTTAAGAGTTAGAAGGTTAACTGTTCAGGCTGGGGTTTGCCCCGTTTCAAAGCAGGCGCTCCGCTGGCAAGCGGAACTGGCTCCTAGCGCGCCCCAGCTCCCCGTTGCTTCCAAGACCGCTCGCCCCTGCGCTTGTTTCCTCTCTCTCGGAGCTCCTTGCTGTCGCTCGGTGACATTCCCGCTTGCTTTTTGCTCCGTGGGCCGTTTTACATCTCTCTTTTTTTGCTGCGTGGTGGGAGGTTCAGGGCAGCAGCTGTGCCCGATGAGGGGATGTGTGAGGCCGGCGGTGTTTCGGGGATGGATCCTGGCGCTGGGGGCCTCTCCTGCAGGAAAATTCTTTTGGGGAGACTTAGGTCTCGTAAGCGTTAATGGAAGTCAGCGGAAGAAATTTGGTATCGATCTGGTATCCACCCTCTGAGATCTCACTTAATCAGGCAAGCTGGCGGCCTGTTACACCACCAAATGTGTTACTGCTGCCGCGGTCGTGAAGCGCTGCCGGGCGGCGGCCGCTGCGGGCCCTGTTAGAGGCATCCAGCGCGGCCCTTAACGGCACCCCCCTGCCCCCTCATCTTGGCCGGAGCACTT